GCTTGAACAAGGATCACGTTCTCAGTTAGTGGAAAGATAAATCGTTGAAGCGAAGCTTATGAATACTCTGGATTTCCTTACGGGTTTGCTGCTGAAGGCTCTTGTATTATGCAATCTCACCGGCGTGATATGCTCTGTCGCTCTGACGGCGTAGGCGTTTTATAGCAGACGTCATGAACTATGATCTCATGAAAAGAGCAGCAGTCATTAAACACGAAATTTATGTAGGAGCCAATGGCTTTCATTCGGTCGTTCAGCGATGAAAAATCAAAAATAAGTCAGTCTGTTGATTTGAAGACATCTGGCATTTCTTCGACTTCCGCAGAGCGGCAAAAGAGCTGTCTCAAGTGATGAAATTTTGGGGCGGATTTTTGCTGACCTATTTTTTTGTAGGTCTTAGGGATTAGACTAATGACGCAATGATCTGAACTGGCAATCGGCGCAGTCTGTTTGACCCTGAATGCCGCTGGCACGTTCGTCATAATGCAATCGAGGTCGGGTAGGGAAGCTTGTAGGAAAATGTTGGGCAATTCGGGTGACATAACAGAGGTTTTGTCGTGTCTATTGAAATTATTGGCGACTACGAATAAGGAAAGGATCTCCCTAGACGTGTCGATATGGTACTCATAAAATCATCCACGAAATTGTGTAATTGCGAGGGAATACAGTCGGGAGCAACGTAAATGTTTTCCAGAATCATGTTGGAGTAACGAGACTATAAAGGAATGGCGCACAGCGAGCTAATAGATTGTATATCCTCAGTTTAATATTGCAACAGAATCTAATATCGGGTGTACCACATTTGGTTGACCCAAGTAACTAGACTATCCCCCCCCAAGAGGCTTGGACTTAGAGTATAGATCTGCTCTGTACACAGCATAGTTTTCGAAGCCGACCACAGCTCTTTCAACCGTTGCATGGAATCACGAGTCTTGGACAAGAATAGTACAAGTGGACAAGAGGGAGTTCCTCCATTCTCTATAATCATTGTGAGGTCTGTCAGTTTGTTCAATCCCGAACGGATGTTTGCCGAGAGAAGCGAACATTAGGTCTTTTTTCCGGTTTCGTCGATTTTGAAGCCTTTTGCAAGTCATCAGACGACCATCGAAATCAGCGATGTCGATTCAAGGTTTCATCAAAATTTGTCGGGGAATGTTTAGTTGTTTTTTCTAAACGGTTTACAGTTGGGGCATATCTGAGGGCGAAAAGTTAATTACGGGTGAATCGTCGGGCTGTCATTGTGAAGCGGGAATTGCGCAGGTATTACACAATGCAGACAAAGAAAAAATAAGGACGCAAATTATGGCAGCAATTAAGCGCTAGCAGCGTGTACAACTACCAGTGCAAATTGCCGACCCACCGAACAGAGCAGTGACACACTCACACAAAGAAGAGAATGTTGTGCGGCAAGAACAAATTTATAATTATTACCCAGCATGCAATATAATAAGTGCTTGCTTATGAATGAGGCATCTTAAAATTACCGCAAGCGGAAGGGCTAGAAATGAATGGGAAAATCCGAAAGTTCGTGGACATGTATGGGATGGCTCATAAAAATGCAAATAAGGAGAAACCATATTTCCTGCAGAAAAGGAAGGAAGAATGGTTTGTATAGAAGGTGAGCTGGAATTGCAGATCCTGTCCCTATGGTAAGATCTTGAGATGGCTGTAAACCGCAGAGTGCTGACGATTGTAGAGTAAATGTAAACGTCTTGTAAAGGTAGAACAGTAAATATCTGGCACTGCAGACATCACAATAAAACTGTAGAAAACACCCGACATAATGGTTGGGAGAGTAAAGCGCTCCATGGACAGTATTTTCACAACTCTTTGACATCAACAAGACGTCAACATTCATGTTCATTTGACTATACAAAAGTGGACTCCATAGCGAAACGGAGGCCTTCTAATAACTGCACATGACCAGTCATTTAACATAAAATCATTCAAAGCGAAGATCCTTCACATGCGGCCAGAAGCAAAATGCAGAATGCATCAAGTGGAGGATCGTGATCCACTAATTTCCTGCCTTGAAGAACCTTCAAATAATGAATGCAAGGAAATGCACAGCAACGTGAGAATAATCCATTTGTGTTTGTGTTAAGCGCGCAGACTTGCCAGCATCAAAGTAATGGTGGAATCATCAGCCAAAAGTGATGGAACAGACTGAAGAATAGCAAATACGCTAAGGCATTCCAATACGAGTTGAGGAAGAAATATCGTTTCATGATTCGCCGTCATGTTGGTAGACATAGGGAAAAGGCGTGCGCAAATCTTTAATACTGCGTGGCTGGATGACAGTGACGTTGTTACCAAGTGGAAGGAAAAAACATTTAAGTATCAAGATTTGAGGATGGAATTACAAATGATCTGGTTTAACGACGGATGTCAGTCCATGGTAAATGGTGCCTCCAGAGCAGTGAAACGAAATTTTCTGCGTCAATTAATGAAGCGATCAAGGTAGATGAACTATAGAAAGAGACCCTGTTTGGAAAAGTCAGGATTTTAAAATGATTCCTGCTGCCCCCTAACCCTTGGTAGAGGGTTCGAGCAGCAGTTATGTTCATACCTCTCATATGACATTGCATGGAATGTGGTGGAAATAATTTATTCCAAACATTGAAAATTTTATGCGCATTTTGCAGTAGAATCAAATGAAAGAAGCACATTCTTCCTAAAGTAAGAAAGTTTCAGGTTCAGGTCTTAATTTTCTCCACCAATAATAGCTATGACTTTCTAGGCTGCATATATTTGGAAGCGCTAGCAGCAGTAAAATTTTCGGTCGTATGTAAAGGGATAAAATCTTTTCTTTTTATTGATAATTTTGCACGCATAGATATCATTCACAGGGGAACGCTGATCTTCATTGCGGTATTTTCACAGAATTCTGCATCTTACCAATAAAATTAGTATCGAAGAATTTTACTGACGATAACGATGCATACACAATTGCAGCCCTATAGTTAATGCCATAAGTCCGGTGACAGAAGTCGGCTTTAAGGAAGGCTTGTAGGCCAAGTGATGCAACTACATTGAACTTGATCCGCTATGTAGATGGCCTATTAATTTGACATACCAACTGATCATTTTAATCATATTTATCTGTCGTCGAGTTTATATTTTTACTGCTAACTTATATTTTTCTTTCTTAATGCTGCTATGACTGCGTAAACAGGCAGTTTTCCCACTAGTAACTACAGTGTCTTGTGATAGCTGGCAGTTGCACTTGCTGATCCTTCATCGTATGCAGCTGCAGAATCACTAGTATTTGCAGTTGTTCGGATTTGCGGAAAAAGGAAGGTGGTGTTTTTCTACAGTCAGTTTTCAACGTTTATATAGAATTTGAAAATGGTAAGATTCCTTTAAAAGTTTTGTGCTATTTGATGTTTTAGGGACGTGTAAGAACAAAAACTGTCAAGAAGGCGAGTCGTTTGTTGATCGAAAAGTACTATACAAAGTTAACTCTAGATTTTCACACAAACAAAAGAATTTGTGATGAAATTGCGATTATTCCGACCAAGAGGTTGCGCAATAAAATTGCCGGGTAAGACTCTTTTTGAAACTTGTTATGCATTATTGAATTAACCGTTTTCTTGTATCAGTAAATTGGTTGGTAAGGTATATCCTAATCGTGTACCTTGCAAGTCGAAAATGTTGCCGGGTTGTAGAACGCCGTTGTGACGATGAATCACATTATTTATTCTTCTGATTTTGTTGCTCATAACTATTGTTGTTTGTGCTTAGGTTAAACTGCTTTTGGACGTTTAACGTCTAAGAACGAATATTGGGATTCCCAACGGATCATCATCTTGTTGTTGGCGCGCCACGCTGTGAGAGACTGGGTAACAGGCAAAGTCATGAAGGCGGAAGCAACCAAAGAATCAAATGGAAAATATTATATTCCACGGATACGAGGGCGAAACTTGCAAACAGCTTCGCCCTCGGTTTGAATAGATCGTGATTATGACAGCTAATGTGGAAGCCCAATGGAAGCTTTTTGAGAGCGGCTTACTTTAGGCTGCCACCGAAATCTTCGGTTTTAAACGGGTTGTCCTTCTGCCTGGATTTCCAAAATGAACTTCGTGGTGGGCAAGAAGTTCAACTGGCTGTCGGCAAGAAGATCGTTTTTAGGAAATGGCTGGGAAGCGAAGAGCCTTCAACTGCAGTGTTCTAAGAAGCGCGCAAGGCGGCAGCTAAAGCAGTGCCAAAGTGAAAGTTTGTTCCAATGAAAAGTTCGATAAAGTGTTGAGCTCGAATTGCCAGAAGGCAAATAATGTGTTCTGACACAATTTGCCGGCTTTTGAGATGGGAATAGAAATAGTGTAAGAATCCTGAAGGAAATGATCGGACACCCTTTTACCAAGGATGCCCTCGTACTCCGGTAATGGAGAGGGTACTTTTAGGAACTTCTTTTCCTAAAGCAATTGCAACAAGACTTGCCTAAACAGCCAAAGGCACGAACATCAGTTTTTCAGTATAAAAAATCACAGAAGCTGTAAAAAGATTTAAAAGTGACAAGGCTGCTGGAAACGAAGATATCTGCATTGAAAGGCCTGAGACTAGCACGTCTCTAAAACTGTCGTTGCTTCGCGAATTACACCATTGACTGAAGAACGGGGTTACCCGTGCTCAAGAAGGGTGACCATAGAGAGTGCTCCATTTATCGGGCCATTATGTTATTGAGCCCCCTCCAGAAAAAATTCGCAAGTGTGTTGGAGAGGAGTTACCGCAGAATAACTGACTGAAAGATACAAGAAGAGCGTTGTGGTTTCATATCATACCGAAGCAACTCTGTGCAGGTATTTGCATTTTGCTTTGCCCCAGATGGTTAAATAACTGTGGGAGTTCGCTCAGCCATTTACTTTGCTTTGCGTACCTGGAGAGGGCCTATTACCGGATCCCTCGCAACAGTCTGTGGTCATGCCTGCAAACGCATGGGATCGATGGGCAGTTGCTGGGCTATTAAATCCATATATACTGATTGCAGGTGCCGCTTCAGAGTAAATGGCGTTAAGTCGAGTCCTTTCAGCGTTGGCACTGGTCCTCGCCAAGGTTACGTTCTGTTTCTTCTCCTGTTTCTGTTGTGCTTGAGTAGAATAGTCTAGCGCTGCCAGGGCGATGGGAGTATCAGTGTAGGAGATGTCGAGATGAGAAGGTTGCTGTTTTCAGATGACCTTGTTTTGTTGGCGTCTTCTGAAACCGGTCTACAGCGATCTGTGGAAAGGTTCGCAGCCGAGTACGACGTGACTGGCATGCGTGTGAGCGTATCTAAAACGAAAAGCCTAGTGTTTTCTCGTTCTCCTGCCTGTTGCTCTCTTCCGATAAACGGAGAAGCAGTGGAACAGTCGGAAAAATTCACGTACCTGCATGTTTATTAGTGATGGAAAATGGAAAGAAGGGATCAAGGGGCGGCAAACTGGAATGAACGGTGGCGTTGTGCGTGAACTAGCCCGAATCGTTGTGCCCTAAGCACACCCGAGTCCAAAAAATGAGCGCTCTGTACACACGATCGTTATCCTGATGCCCACCCACAATCTTGAGTAGAAGCGGCTGAAATGGGCTATCTGGTGCGAATTGCTAGACTCACTTTTCTCGATATTTTCAAAAGTACAGGTATCCGAGAGAGCTTTGGTCTATTATCCGCTGCTTCTCCAGATTGAAAAGTGAATGATGGTATGTTTGGAGCACTGCGAGAATGCTTTTGGAAGAAAAGCGAAAATTACTGCTCCTTTCTTACATGATCGACCAGTGGCCCGGGGATAACCAAGAATGACCTTTTTCAAGTGTCTCGGCATACTGCGCGATACTCTGGTTATCTTCTGCCGAAGCTGAAACATTGGCGCAGGATTGGGAATGTTCTTGACTCTGACGCTTCTGCGTCCGTGATCGAACAGGATAAGTGGTCATCGAAACTAAGTGAATGATGGAACAGGTTTCGGCTATTAGCGGTAACCATATCATTGAACGCTAGAAGTTATTTTTGCCTTGATGTCGTTATCGAATAATTTATTGTTTCGTATTATGACTCTGTAG